CAGGATCCCCCTTAGGATCTCTTGGAGGGCTGGTTTAGTGGTGATGAATTCCTTCAGTTTTTGTTTGTTTGGGAAGACCTTTATCTCTCCTTCTATTCTAAATGACAGACTTGCTGGATAAAGGCTTCTCGGCTGCATATTTTTTCTGTTCAACACATTGAAGATCTCCTGCCAATTCTTTCTGGCCTCCCAAGTTTCAAAAGAGAGATCAGTCATGAGTCTTATAGGTCTCCCTTTATATGTTAGGGCACGTTTATCCCTTGCTGCTTTCAGAATTTTCTCTTTATCCTTGTATTTTGCCAGTTTCAGTATGATATGTCGTGCAGAAGATCGATTCAAGTTCCGTCTGAAGGGAGTTCTCTGTGCCTCTTGGATTTCAATGCCTTTTTCCTTCCCCAGTTCAGGGAAGTTCTCAGCTATTATTTCTTCAACTACACCTTCAGCACCTTTCCCTCTCTCTTCCTCCTCTGGGATACCAATTATGCGTATATTATTTGTTTTTAGTGTATCACTTAGTTCTCTAATTTTCCCCTCATACTCCTGGATTTTTTTTATCTTTTTCTCAGCTTCCTCTTTTTCCACAATTTTGTCTTCTAGTTCACCTATCCTCTCCTCTGCCTCTTCAATCTGAGCTGTGGTTGTTTCCATTTTATTTTGCATCTCATTTAAAGCGTTTTTCAGCTCCTCCTGACTGTTCCTTAATCCCTTGATCTCTGTAGCAATAGATTCTCTACTGTCTTCTATACTGTTTTCAAGCCCAGCGATTAATTTTATGACTATTATTCTAAATTCACTTTCTGTTATATTATTTAAATCCTTTTTGATCAGTTCATTAGCTGTTGTTATTTCCTGGAGATTCTTTTGAGGGGAATTCTTCCGCTTGGTCATTCTGGATAGTCCCTGGAGTGGTGAGGACCTGCAGGGCACTTCCCCTGTGCTGTGGTGTATAAGTGGAGTTGGTGGGCGGGGCCACAATCAGACCTGATGTCTGTCCCCAGCCTACTGCTGGGGCCACAGTCAGACTGGTGTGTGCCTTCTCTTCCCCTCTCCTAGGGGCAGGATTCACTGTGGGGTGGCGTGGCCTGTCTGGGCTACTTGCACACTGCCAGGCTTGTGGTACTGGGGATCTGGCATATTAGCTGGGGTGGGTAGGCAAGGTGCACGGGGGCAGGAAGGGTAGGCTTAGCTCGCTTCCCCTTAGGTGATCCACTTCAGGAGGGGCCCTGTGGCAGCGGGAGGGAGTCAGACCCGCTGCCGGAGGGGTGGCTCCGCAGAAGCACAGCGTTGGGTAGGTGCGCAGTGCAAGTAAGTTCCCTGGCAGGAACTGGTTCCCTTTGGGATTTTGGCTGGGGGATGGGTGAGGGAGATGGGGCTGGCGAGCGCCTTTGTTCCCCGCCAAACTGAGCTCTGTCGTCCCAGGGCTCAGCAACTCTCCCTCCCTTTGTCCTCCAGCCTTCCTGCTTTCCGAGCAGAGCTGTTAACTTATGACCTCCCAGATGCTAAGTCGCGCTTGCTGTCGGAACACACTCCATCAGGCCCCTCCGCTTTTGCCAGCCAGACTCCAGGGCTCTGCTTGGCCGGCGAGCAGCCCCTCCGCCCCGGCTCCCTCCCGCCAGTCCGTGGAGTGCGCACCGCCTCTCCGCCCTTCCTACCCTCTTCTGTGGGCCTCTCGTCTGCGCTTGGCTCCGGAGACTCCGTTCTGCTAGTCTTCTGGCGGTTTTCTGGGTTATTTAGGCAGGTATAGGTGGAATCTAAGTGATCAGTAGGACGTGTGGTGAGCCCAGCGTCCTCCTACGCCGCCATCTTCTCCTGATCCTCTGGTGTGGCTTATTTTTAATAAGAGGTTTATTCTTTATCTTGGGACTAGCCACTTAAGGAGTTCTTTTTCCAAATTTGAGTAAACATATATCCACTCCTCTGAACTAGAGTGTACCTGAGGGATGCTACTATCTGCAACCCCTGTACTCAGAAATTAGTGATAAGGCAAAATAAGGCCAATTTGTAGGACCCAAGAATCTTTTAGAATTAATAAGTATTTAAAGCCTAATTCCTACAGTGTGAAATTTTAAAGCAGAGCAATTTTTTCAGGATATATTAAAGCTGCTCACCCCTAAAATAATATGACCATCCAGGCCAGTGACACTAGTTTCATAATAAGATTACAGGGGAAGAGTTGATTTCTGAATAGCACATTTCTAATGCTGGAAAACCTTCAGGGTCCAGCCAGTCTGGTGGGGTGACTAGGAACAATGAGGAAAAATGGCTAACCGTGGTGAGTAAACTAAAGAGCTGTGGTCCTGGGAGAAATAGTGTATAGGCTCTTAGGCAGTGCTTAGCACTTGGTGGTGGTGATGGGGGGGTTCAGGGGGATGGGTGGAGCTCAAGCTTTCCCCACAGAAACACACATCTGGACAAGTGTCCATGGGAACATACAAACTCCGCATCAACAGCGACACCTTGATTAAGTGAGTTCTCAGGTTCCTGGAACAATATGGCAAAGAAGACTGTGGTCCTCATGCTAATGCCAGATACCCTGCTAGTAGAGAGGTCACGGGTCAAGGAAGTACCTATAATAATAAGAGAAGTGACTGTATTTGTTTTGTAAATTTCAGAAGCAGGCAACATTGATCACACACACAATTTTGACTCTTCAGTAGTCCTCCGTATTATTTTTTAGACATGACTGAGACTATCATTGACTATAATTATTGCCTTCAACAACTATTGAGGCATGAATTCTATATATGATCACATAATTTATGGCATAATATACCAGTTGATTCAAATGAATCAATATTGGTAAAGGCTGGAAATGTGCCAATACCTAGTAAGTCCTAATAAGCATTTGCTATTGTTTGCTACATTTGTTTGTTCATGCTGTTATGAGTTTGAAGAAAACTGCCCACAATGCTCAATTAAGTCTTTGATGTGTTTTAAAACAGAAAGTCATCGAAAACCATCCATTGTGTTCTACTTTGCATGTACCGGTGAATACTTTTATGACTGATACAAGTGGAATTGAATGTGATATATATTCTGATACCTCAGTAACACTTAATAAAATTTCATTCCATGAATTATTTGATAATGGGCATTGAGAAAAGGACAAAAGATTTTTAAATGATTACCTAGGCTACTTATATTTTTTAAATGCACTAAAAATGTGTAAGAGGAGCAAGAAGCAAGCTTCTTACAAATCTTAAATAACTTACACCAGAAAAATAAAATCATCTTTGGACTATTACACATATGAACCATCTGTGAGTGTCCTAAATGGTTGTAACATCTCTGGTTCTAGATAAAGGGTTTTATAATTTACTGAAGTCCTAAAATGTCATTCACGGACTTAGTTTTTAAATGTATTTCCACACGGGGCGCCTGGGTGGCTCGGTCGGTTAAGCGTCTGACTTTGGCTCAGGTCATGATCTCACGGTCCGTGAGTTCGAGCCCCGCGTCGGGCTCTGTGCTGACAGCTCAGAGCCTGGAGCCTGTTTCAGATTCTGTGTCTCCCTCTCTCTCTGCCCCTCCCCTGTTCATGCTCTGTCTCTCTCTGTCTCAAAAATAAATAAATGTTAATAAAAAAAAATTTAAAAAAATGTATTTCCACTGACAGAAGACAATTATTTCTCAGCAGTTTCTAAATGTTTGGTACTTTTAAGTAAGGTCTGGTCTAGTTATTTTAAAACACTACTCCAGTTGGGGCACCTGGGTGGCTCAGTTAAGCATTTCACTTCAGCTCGGGTCATGATCTCACAGTTCATTGAGTTTGAGCCCCAAGTCAAGCTCTATGCTGACAGCTCAGAGCCTGGAGCCTGCTTCAGATTCTGTTGTCTCTATCTTTCTCTGCCCCCCCTTAAAAATAAACATTAAAAAATTACAAATAAATAAATAAATAAATAAATAAATAAATAAAATGCTATTCCAATCTAAGAAAAATAGTCCTGGTGTATTAGAGATTCTTAGAGCCATACACACAAAAAGAACTGTTCAGTAACCAACTTAATTTAAAATATTTTTATTTTTATTAACTAAAAAATATGTTTTGCTATTACCGTAGCTTGTCTTCGATCTGAATTTGTAAGGTTGATCATAAAATTGCAGTCCACACACAGGGTATAAGATGATATCTAAATAATAATTGGTAATATATACTTGATAATGAAGAAACATTCCTAGGGCATGCCTGGGTGGCTCAGTCTGTTAAGCTTCTGACTTCAGCTCAGGTCATGATCTCACAGTTTGTGAGTCTAAGCCCCACGTCAGGCTCTATGCTGAGAGCTCAGAGCCTGGAGACTGCTTGGGATTCTGTGACTCCTTCTCTCTCTGCCCCTCCTCTGCTCTGCTCAGTCTCTCTCTGTCTCTCAAAAATGAATAAATGTTAAAAAAAAATTTTAAAGAAACATTCCCAACTAATATAAAATTAAATTTATCTTCCTTCCGTGAAAATATGAATTTCTACCAAGAAGAAGAATGTTACTAAAATGAATAAACAATTCTTTTTTTTTTAAGTTTATTTATTTATTTTAGAGAGAGAGAGAGAGAAGGGAAGGCGTAGAGAGAGGGAGAGAGAGAATCCTAAGCAGGCTCCATGCTGTCAGTGCAGAGCCGGATGCAGGACTGGAACTCACGAGCCATGAGATCATGACCTGAGCCCAAACCAAGAGTCAGAAGCTTAACTGACTGAGCCACCCAGGCGCCCCTCACACAGGTAAATTTCTAAAATGATTATCTGATCATGTCTCTTTCCTGCTTCTAGCACATCACTAGATTCCAATTCCCTACCGACTAAAGTCCAAATTCTTCAGAAGTACATGGGGAGTCTATCGTGATACGGACGGATGCACTGAATTTCCAAACTTACCACTGCTACTCTTCTCACACTTTATGCTCTAGCAATTCAGAACAGCTTACAGCATCTCAAGAATACCATATTTCTTACATATCCACATCATCGAGCATCTCCTGTTACTTACAAATCATGTTGCCTCTCCTGAAGTGCTCACCTTTACATGCTCCAGTCCCAAGCCACCCTCATATATACACCTGTGTTCTGTTTGGATCATTCCTTTTCCAACTGCAATATCCAGTTCAAAAGCTGCCTCTTCCCAAAAGGCTTTCCTGTCACCTGCCTTCTGGTAATTCAGAGGAGAAAGAATCACTCCCTGCTCTATGCAATCTTTGTTTCCTCTACATGTGCTAATGAGTATGTTCTCTCTCCTGCATTAGAATATGAGCTTCCTGCAGGCAGAGCCTGTGCCTGATTTGTATTTACCCCAGGACTTAGCCTAGGAGCACAAGGAGGCACTCTGTCCTGTGTCTGCTTGAATGGCTAGATTCAAGGGAAACTTTACAGCATATTTTCTTGCCTTGTTGGCTTCAAAGTCACAAAAGAACCCTGAACCATCAGCAGGCTCTGTTGTTCTGTATGAAAAGGCCTTTATCAATACTGAGTCATTTAACAAAGAAGCTCTTTCTGAAAACATCTGAACCATCTTCACTTATTTAAATTTCCAGAAACTTACAGTAGCAAGCTTTCCAGTCGCCTCTGAGCAAATTACACAACCTAATTCCATTTCTGAACTTTTATAATTTCTAAGGGCAGACACAAGGAGAGAAATACAAATGCTTCTTCAGATAAAGGTTGTGAGCCTGCTTTAAATCACTTAGAAGCTCTGCTCTATGGGGCAAAAAATCATAATGAAACTAAATATTTTTACCAAGAATGGAATTTCTAAGATACTACATCCTTCAAAGTGACAACATAATGGCAAATTATGACCCACCAAACTCAGAGGAGCAACATTATGTCTGAAGAAATACAGACAAAATCAGTGCTAAGCAGTGAGACTTTTTCATGGAAAATTAACAAGGTAATCACTGAGGCTTCTGGGTGCTGAATCCCTTAGTACCTGATGGAGGCCAATACTAGAGAGGAGCAGTGAATCATCTTAGAATGCTCCAAGCCAACCATGAGTTGATGTATCACGACAGGGGTCGTCAAAAACCAATAAGCAGATGTTTATGTATATGCTGAGGACTGCAGGAGGAAGGTCTTGTGAATAATACCCAAGTGATATAAAACCTAATCCCTGCCTTCAAGGAGTTTATAGTCTGGAAAGGGAAATGAGGCTTAAACAGACAAAATCACATAACATGCTAATAATGTGATTTTCAAACACAATGCAAGGTAATAAAGGATGAAGTTTCTGCTTGACTTATTCCACCAACATTGATTGAGTATAACTGAATACCTAATACTTTGCCTCAGAGTGATACAGACAATAGGAACAAGGAGATTTCAAAGGAAGGAGATGTCTATACATTCATCTATTGTCAGAAAACTCCAAGGAGAGATGTGAACTGAGTATTCAGAGGCAGGTAATATTTAGATTTGCAGAGAAAAAGAGAAATGGCCCAAGGTGGGGAAATGGGTGGGAATTAAAACACATTACCAGGTGACATTTTTAATTTTTATTCAAAATTTTAAAAATTTTTTTAATGTTTATTTATTTTTGAGAGACAAAGAGAGACAGAGCATGAGCAGGGGAGGGACAGAGAGAAAGGGAGACAGAATCTGAAGCAGGCTCCAGGCTCTGAGCTGTCAGAACAGAGCCCGATGTGGGGCTCGAACCCACGAACTGAGAAATCATGACCTGAGCTGGAGTCAGATGCTCAACTGACTGAGCCACTCAGGCGCCCCAATTTTTATTCAAATTTTATAATGACCTATGGTTTGAGGTGTTTCAAGTCCTTCACTTGTGCATATGTACACCATGCAACTCTCCTTTCCTTCATGCTTAACACTGATTCCTTCACATTACGGTGTTCTATATTTCTACACACTTTCTTGCCTCTTTAACAACAGAAAAAGGACAGAAGAAATCTTTCCTGAATTGAGAGAAGATGCACTCTATAAATGACTTGTGTGTTCCTGGAGTATATGAAGAGAGACGGATACACAAAAAAACTCTGGTTTATTTGCTGAAAATTTTAAACATCCCCTGTGGCTAACAGGCTCATCTAATAAAGATATTCAACACTTCAATAAACAGCATGTATTTCTTCTTGCTTCTTGGCAATTGCTTTCATCCAACTTGCTCAAAGCTCTTCAAAGACAGGGAGCCAGATTTTCCACAAGTCACTCCCTGGAGGTAATTTGGCTGGTTAAGGAGGCACAATAATTCTTTCAGGCCACAAAGGGCCATTTATTGAATACAGAGTGAAAAACCAAAAGAGAAACAAAATTCCTCTGAGCCCCAAAGATGGGTGAGAACTCTTCTCTGGGCCTTTGGGGAACATCATACTCCCTAAAGCACGTTGATTATCAGCACAGAGGAAGTAGAATTCTGCATCTTGGTTTTAATAAACCCAAGGAGAATGTCCACCAATGACTGACACTCTTATTCTGAAGTAAATTATTTCTTCACTATTTAAATGTGTATAAGAAAAACTTTCAGGATCGCCTAGGTGGCTCACTCGGTTAGGCATGTGACTCTTGATTTTGGTTCAGGTCATGACCTCACAAGTTCATGAGATCAAGCCCATGTCAGGCTCTGCACTGATAGCA